TTCCCACTCTTTTCCCTTTCTTTCTCAACTACTTCACACCACTTCTGTGAGCCCCAGCCCTTTGCCTCACAGCACATGTTTTTCAGAAGAACCTTCCAAGTCTTCTCTCCAGTTAGTGCCCACATGACAAAGCCACTCCAAAAAAGGTGCAATGACTGTGTCATCTCAAGTTATCTTCTGACCAGAACCAAGTCTGTCTCCTCAAGCTAAAAACTGCATTTTGGGGGGGGAGAAATTACATGTCATGAGTGACAGCACTTAAAAAGTACCACTGAACTGAAATCAGTTTGGTGAGAGACCATGTAGGGAAGACTGCCTTCCAGGTGAACTGGCCTGTTTCTTCATAGGAAAGGACAAGGGGCAATGGGTGCCAACTGGAGCATAGGGGATTCCATGTAAATATCAGAAAAAACTTCTTTACTGTGAGAGTGACAGAGCCCTGGGACAGGCTTCCCAGGGAGGCTGTGGAGTCTCCTTCTCTGGAGACTTTCAAGACCCATCTGGACACATTCCTGTGTGATGTGCTCTGGGTGACCCTGCTCTGGCAGGGGGGTTGGACTGGATGATCTTTCGAGGTCCCTTCCAACCCCTAAGATTGTGTGATTCATCCCAAAGGTTTCACCTGTCTTCATTTATACCTGCCCACAGACATTACTTGTGACTCCTGAGCTGCACTCGTCCTGCAGTCTGTGCTGAAGATCATCCCAAACCAGTCCTGACCACCAGGTTTCAGATTGCTAACCCACATTCCCCACCCGTGCCAGATCAGACCAAGCACTGACAGTTCCCAGCTACAAACCACATCCATTAAATTGTCCTCTCAGGCAGCTGAATCTCAGAGCTCCAAGGGTAGAAACTAACAAAACGTGCTTGTGTTGCATTCCTTCAGTGTAACGAAAGCTTGGAACCCAGTTCAGAGTTGGTTTTGCAGACCAGGACACCAGCAGCACAGACCTGGAGGTCTGCATGGCCCAGCATACCACAGCTGCCTCACCAAGGCCAATATTCTCTTATAGAGCACCCATTTTTCTGAAGCTCAGCCTGCCAGGAACTCTTCCCAACTCTAGCTCTCTGGAGATGAGTATTCCATCCCCACCACCTGGCAAGGATCAAATGCACCACTCGTTCCTATCAGTTTATATCTGGTGTGCTCTCAGCTTAAGGGCTTTACACAGAGCAGATATGCTGGGTGTCTGCACACACCCTGTATCCATCTGGAATTGGAATGCCTTCAGGAGGGCTGCAGAGATCTACCTTCACACCAGCCTACTCAGAAAAAGAACTGAACAAGCATAGAACACTTCTCCAAGAGCTCTCCTAGCTTTTGATCAATGATTTAAACTTCCTGGGCTGGAGGGATTCTACTCACATTCTTAATTCTGCATTAATTGCTCTATTAACTTACCCATTTTTTCCTCAAATCCAGGTAAGCTTTTAGCATCCCCACCCACATGTTGAACAAACAGTCACCTACTGCTGTTGTCAGAACCCAAAGCCCCTTATCCTACCAGATATTTAGCTACTTAACCTGCCTGCAGTTCTCACCCTGTAGCTATCTTTGGACCATCACATAACATTGCTACATCCACCTCCCAGCACCACTTCAGATAAAGAACATCACAAGCCTCACTTGCTTCCCAAGCAGCTGAGCTCAGCACCAGTTTCTAGATGCTCTAAAACTACAGCCTTCCAAACCAAGCCTGCTCCTCAGCCACCATCACAATTAAGTAGTTAAAGATGAGAGCAGCAGAGCATTAATGATGGCCACTGGAGGTATCTACATTTGGAGCACATTTGGTACCCAAACTAATTACCCTCCCTTTTTTGAGCAAAAGAAGAAACAATGCTGTAGTTCCTGAGGGCAGAGGGAAGGGCAGCCCTTGCTTGCAGGGAAAGCCACAGGGTGCTGATAGGCTACAAAATATACATATTTGTACTCCTCTCCCAGCCTGAGAGGCAACTGGCAAAGGTAACCGTTTAAACTGTATTGTTGTTGTAGGCCATGTATTTATCCATAAACATAGCACCATACTTGGGAAACATGAGCCTGAAGCTACTGGGAATCTTCTCCCACTCAAGCAAAACAAGAGAAGCAGGCAGGGTCCCTGAAGCACAGGATCCCTGCACATCCCAACACCCATCCAGGCAACCTCACCTTGAGCAAAGAAAGTGCTTTATTGCTGACCCTGAGACAGGAGAGAAAATACTGGGGTTGTGGAGAAACAAACAGGACAGACAAATGAAGATCCCAACTTTGAAGGCCTTTGGAAAGCAATCCATGACCCTTTAATTCCAGCAGCTCTTCTGCTGAGATTTTTCTCAACCCAAGTATTCTCCAGAGTGAAATTCCATCTGCTAGAAAGGAACTCTCATGACTTTTCGTGCCAGCAAGAAGACCAGAAGAGATCTCTGGTCCAGGAAAATATAACTCCCATTTGAGAATGCACTGATTTCAATATCACAATACAGGGGCACGAAAATACTGGTCCTAACATTGCAGGAAAACTAATTGTGGCAAGGTAACTTGTTGCTGAAATAGAAGTACTGCTCAGGAAGCTTCCACCTGAATTGGAAATCGCTCATCCAGAGTCTCTAAATACTTTTGCCTCCATAGCTGCAGAACACAGACTACATAAATAACCTGCATATTTAAATAAATCATGGACATTCACCTAACTCACTTCAGGAATATCAGCTGCAACTCAAAGCAGTTCTTAAACCTTTCAGTCTGAAAGCTGACATAAACCTGTGAAAGTGAACACAGCTCCTCAGCACTGCTGGGCTAGCCAGGTAATCCTATCAAGGGAGAAATCCCCATGGGACACATCCTCCTAATGCCATTAGCAGGTGACATAAGCACACTGAGCAGTGGGAGCAGAGAGCTGTGCTGCCCCTGCCGCACAGCAAGGGCTCCCAGAGGTGTGAGTGGCCCCAATTATATGGGCAAACACACTAACATCCTACTTCTATGGACTACTAAAACCACAGCTTCTGAAGCCTGTGAAGACCATTAGATAGAACAATCCTTTCAAAGAAGAGACTGAGCATTATTCCTGCAGGTCCATCTTCATCACAAGAGATTATTTCTTCCAGCTGCTGTCTCACACAGGTTTCCTGCCAGGGAGGCAGGCACTGACTGCCCAAGGACAGGCCCTTCAGACGTGCCCGGGTGCCACTGGCACGTCCACCAGCCCACACACTTCATCCTCCTCCTCCTCATTCCTCCAGAGATCAGAGTACACTGGTGATCAAACCCAACGTCTGAACGGACACACCCTGTGATTTTATGTGCTGCAAAATGACAGTTGCTTTTGAAGTGCTTTGATTTCTTTACAAACTGCAAGGCTGACCAAATAACAGGGTCAGGGAGACGACGGGAGCTGTTTTTCCAGACGCACACCAGGTGTAGCTCCCCCCAGCAGATGCCCAGCAGCTGACACCCCTCTGGCTCCCTGACTCTGGCTTACCTGCAGCTGCCTAAGAAACCCCACAGATATCAAGTTTGGGAAGGAGCTCAAATGGGGAGGGTAGGAAACAGCATTTTATATTTTATAAGCATGTCTTGCTTATCAGGGTGTCTGTATTCACATAAAGACATAGTTGAGTTTCAAACTGCCCAAGTGAGATGCACTGTCCAGTCTACGTAAGGTAAAGCAGACACAGCTGGAACACAGGGCTCATTTCCTGAGCCCAGCAGGTCCCCACATGCAGCACATTGTATTACCACCTCATTTGCTGCCATTTCTCCAGCTACAGAAAACTCCATGAGTGCTACAAAGTGGGCAAGACTCAGTCCT